ACGTGATGTCACCACGTGATGTCACGTCACGTCTCAGGACGTCATCTGTTTCCAGACTTTTTACTGCAATGAGGAAAAATGAGTCACGGTGAAAAAAAACACTGAAAAAGCTTTATCGGAACCAAATGCTGATATTCTGAGTCGGGTTCATCCGGAACCGACCCGCTGGACTGAGACACGAGGAACCGACGCTTCAGTTAAGATACGAAACATTCCAGCGTTTTCTGAAAGTTCATCTTCAGCAGAGCCAAAGAAAACCGAGTCGACACTCAGAACTGTGGAGGTTCTGAATGAAGGCTGGTTCTGGTTCAGACGTGACGGGTTTGGATCAGAATCACCAGACACACAAAACAACACAAAACCACCAACATGAGACAAAACATGACAATAAACACCAGAGCGAAGACAACAAAACAACAACAACACACAGAACACACCGGGTCAAACTACATACTCTGTTCCTCCACTCAGTAATCTGATTACTGTGGGCCTGACGACCCAAACAGAGACGGCATCAGAGAATCAAAGTTCACCTGAAACCTGTCAACTGGAAAACGAGTAAAATTCGGAAAAGGCCGAAGAACATTTCAGCTCAACACAAAAACATCGAACAGACACAAAACGACACAAAACAGAAAAACAAGAACAGAATGAAATGGGACGAGGTTCTGAGTTCAACCGGATGGGTTCTGGTGTGTTCATGAAGTTCACCAACAGTCCGCTCATGTTTCTGATCACTTAGTAACATAATCAATCAGTGAACGGTGGAACTTCACAGATCAATAAAACAAGTTTATGAAGAAACACGTCAAGAACTAAAACCAGTCAACTCACCGGGTTCTGCTTCTGTTGGTAGCGCTCAGATCCATCAAAGGGAACCGGAACCAGTCAGTCAGTCCTCATCGATCAGCCGCGTGCGGAGGCACCAGGGGAGGACGCGCGCGCACACGGACACACACACAGTGCGGGTTTCCTTCCTGAAGGTAAACAGGTGGAGTTTATTCCTGCTGCGACACGCCGGGCACGCGCACACACGCACGGAAAGAAGAAGAAGAAGAAAAAAAAGCTAAACGTCAAATTAAAGCGCAAACACACACACCTGCGCACGCGCCGTCCGGTACCGGGCTGGACAGCCAAACAATTTCAGACACACAAGAAAACGGAATTATTCCGCTCGCGCTTTATTCCACATGACGTCCGTTAGTCGTCCGTTAGTCCGTTAGTCGTCCGTTAGTCCGCCGGTTTGTCCTGGTCCTGTTCACGCGCTGCTCCGTTCTCGTTGTTTCGCTGCACGCGGACGCGGCTCTTCTTCTTCGGTTTCTGCCGCTCCGCCGCTGCAGCGTCAAATCCCACAAAATTTACTACCGCGTTTCCGGTGTGCGCGCCTTCAAAATAAAACCAGCTACAAGGAAATCTCTGACGAGGGAATGTTTATGTTCTGGTTGTGTCATTGCTGATAATTACGGCAACAAAACACGCATTTAACAGATAAAGTCCAGAAGCACAGCACAAACACCACCAGAACACTCAGTCGGCCGATAATCAGGACATGAATAAAACTTTAACATGTCAACCCAACATCCATCCATTATC